TGGGAATGGGAATGGACTGGCAAAGGCAATTGTACTGGTTCTGGCAATGGCAATGGTAATGGTAATGGGAATGGGAGTGGTAAAGGTAATGGTAATGGTAGTAGTAGTGGTAGTGGTAGTTGTAGTGGTAGTGGCAATGGTAATGGTAATGATAATGGTAATGGTAAGGGTAATGATGAGGAGCAGCCTGAAAGATCGTAAAAACTCCTCTGGGACCCACAGCGACTCCACAATTTCCAGGCCTCTCCTCCTCCTCCTCCTCGTCCTCCTCCTCCTCCTCCTCCTCCTCCTCCAGACCTCCGAGGCCGCAGTTTTTCACCCACGACGCGGGCCCTTGAAGCCCTCGGTTTCTTCCCCGTGCTCGTTTTTTCGTCGCGGGCCGTTTTCTGATGCGTCAGGGCCCGAGACGCGGAGGACGAACCGCCCGCAAGGTTTCCGCGACGCCTGGAGGTCCGGGAGGCCCCCAGGGGGCCCGCGAACGGCCAGCCACGTACAGTGGAGACCCATGCCAAGAGACACCCTGCTTGCCTCCCGGGTGCCCTGGGTCCCTTGGGTCTCGATGCCTCGGCTGTGGAGAGCGCGGCGCTCCCGCACCAGAAGTCCACGGACGTCCGGGGGTCTCGGGAGGAGGAGGAGGAGGAAGATGAGGAGGAGGAGGAGGACGAGGAGGAGGAGGAGGAGGAGGAGGAGGAGGAGGAGGGGAAGGGGAGGTGGAGGGGAGAGGGGGAGGGGAGGGGGAGGGGGAGGGGAGGAGGAGGATGAGGAGGAGGAGGAGGAGGGGAAGGGGAGGTGGAGGGGAGGGGGGAGGGGGGAGGGGAAGGGGGAGGGGAGGGGAGGAGGAGGAGGAGGAGGAGGAGGAGGAGGAGGAGGATAGGAGAGGAGGAGGAGGAGGAGGGAGGAGGAGGCGGAGGAGGAGGAGGACGGAGGACGAGGAGGAGGAGGTTGGGCTTCTTGTGGAAGGTCTCCTGTGGTCGGCCCCCTTCCGTGCAGAAGCCCCGCCCCGAGCGCAGCGGGCTGCCTGCCTCTTCGGCGAGCGCCTGGCGGCCCCCCGCCCCTCGTCTGAGCGAGGCAGTCTACAGCGTCTTCCTGTGGATCGGCCACGACCCCGCGAAGGACTGGGGCACCTACGAGGCCGCGGCCCCGCGGTCCTGCGCGGCCGGAGCCTCCCCTGACGCCTCGGGAGGCCTCTCTCACATGGGGGGCGGCCAAGAGGGGGGTGATGCCTAGGCGGGGGTGGATATCAGGGCGTGGGCCGTGATATTTCCCCAGATTTCATGGCGCCTCCTCTTATTTCATTACGTCCCTGGGCCCCCCTCGGGCCGCGCACATGCCGCCAGCCATGGTTTGCACCCCCCCCTCTTGGACGCCCCCCTCTTGGCCGCCTCCGACCAGTGGTTCTGGAGGCCCCTTCAGCAACCAACAAGCACACAGGTCTAGCTCTTCCTCGATCCTGGCCCCCCGCTTGACCCGCCCTGATCCTCCTGGGTTCCCTCGGTCCTTCCTGATCTCCTCGATCCCTTTCTCGATGCCCCTCGGTTCCTAGACCTCCCAGGTGGGGTCCGAGTAGATGGAGTCGGAGGGTCGCGCCGCATCGCCGATGCATCGGCGATGTGGCTCGATGTGGTGCCCGATTTGTCACCACGCCGACGTGGCCGATTGCATCGACTAGGTTTCCGATGCATCGCCGATGCATCGACGATGTATCGGCGATGCGGTGCGATTTTCCGACCCCATCTATTCCGACCCCATTTAGGAGGCCTCTAGGTCGTCGTCGTCGTCGTCGTCGTCGTCGTCGTCGTCGTCGTCGTCGTCGTCGTCGTCGTCCGCTGCCGTCGTCGTCGTCGTCCTCGTCGTCGTCGTCGTTGCCGTCACCGTCACCGTCGTCGTCGTCGTCGTCGTCGTCGTCGTCGTCGCTGTCGAGGAGGCCTCTGCCTTGATCCGCTCGCGGTGCCTCTCCTCCCACGCCTGCCCTCCGCAGCCTCCCCTCTTTTTGTGGGTGGATCTCTCAAGCTCTCCGCCGCCTCTGGCGGTGTCCGTTGCGAGCGGGATCGCAGCAAAGCCACATGAAAGCGCGGCATTGACAGCTCAGCTCCGCACGCGTGACACATGATAACGAGCAAGATCACAGCAAAGCCCCAGGAGAGCGAGGCATTGACATTGTAGCTCAACATCGACACGGTCCCCCTCCCGCCCGGGGGACCCCGGCGGCCCTTCCCCCGCGCGACGGCCAGAGGCGGCGATGCAGAAGTTCAGCTACGGGGGCCGGCCATGGGGGGGGAGAGATCGAGGCCGTTGGCATCGAGGATCGGGGAGGGCACGGCACGGAGGATCGATGAGCGAGGAGGAGCGTGTTTCTTTCTTGCTTGGGGCATAATGGGCATTACAGCATCCGGCCCCCCCTCCCCCCTCCCCCCCTATAACCTAACACCCCTCCCCCCTCAGTGCGCCTTAGACACTGCCACCGTGCACACGGCGGGGGGGAAGCGTTACATTATACCCCCTCCCTGGCCCCTCCCCCTTTTAATGCCCATTATCGCCGAAAATAAAGAAACGCGCTCGAGGAGATCGAGGGTCGAGGGTCCAGGGTCCAGGGTGGAGGGTCCAGGGTCGAGGGTCGAGGGTCGAGGGTCGAGGGTCGATGGTCGACGGTCGACGGTCGAGGGTCGAGTGTCGAGGGTCGAGGGTCGAGGGTCGAGGGTCGAGGGTCGAGGGTCGAGGGTCGATGATGACGATGATTAGGATGATGATGAGGAGGATGATGAGGATGACGAGGATGACGAGGATGCTGAGGATGATGATTATGCTGATGATGATGATGACGCTGATGATGATGACGATGATGATGGTGGTGGTGACGACGATGATGCTGATGATGATGGTGATGATGATGCTGATGACGATGGTGGTAGTGGTGATGATGATGAGGAGGATGAGGATGGTGATGATGCTACTGCTGCTGCTGCTGCTGATGATGTCTTTGATGATGGTGAGGATGATCATAAGGATGATGATTTTGTAGCAATGGTCCAGCGGATCCACCGCGGCCAGGCTGCCGGCCAGCTCCCGACGCCGCAAACAGCGGCCTCAGGCTCTCGTAGTACTTCGGCTCGAAGATGTCGCCCTCGAAGCCCTCGTCGCTCCGCTGGCCGTCGCACCAGCTATGCTCGGCTTCTTGATCGCGAACGTCTTGGCCGCGTTGTAGGCCCGCGCCCACGCTGAGCTGCCTGGCTGCAGCCCCTTCTTGATCCACGCCAAGTTCTGGATCCCCGACTTCTTGAGGATGCCGCCGCTGCACGGCTTGGCGAGGTCTTTCACCATGTCCCTCGCGATGCAGCCGCAGTCCCTGCAGTAGTGGACCTGCGAGGTCGCGTCGTACTCTGCGAGTTGCGTCTCGTGCGCCTTCTGCAAGCCTGCCTGGACGTCCTGGCTCGGCTTCGCGCCGAAAGGCGACGCCTCTTCTGCCACCAACTCCGCGCGTGGCTCCTTCAACTAGGCGTCCGACGTGTGCTTCGGCACCCTCGCTCCGCATTGCTCGCACTTGCAGTACTTCGCGCTCGGGCCCTCTGTGGTGACGTGCTCGGCGCTCGCGGCGAGCTGCCTGCGCTTCTCGAGCTTCGCCTTCCCCTTCCTGCGCTCCTTGGCGGCGGGCGGCTTGGATGGCTCCGCTTCCGTTGCCGCCACGAGCGTCGCCTGGGCCCTCTTGCGGATCTGCGTCGCAATCCTTCCCGTGAGCCTGCTCTTCCGCGCATCGTTCTGGGGGACTTGAACCTCCTCCACGATTCAGGCGATCGCAAACATGGATCAAGGGGGCGTGGATAAGCGAAGGGTCCCGTTTCCATGGGAGATCGCGGATTTCTGCCGCCGAACGGGGCAGCACCGGCCGCATTTTGGGGAGGGCACCTGTCCCGATCAATGGATTTGGCGACCGCGCGCCACATCCACGGATCGCTAATCCATGCTTGCGCGCCCCCGAACGATGCCCTCTACGAACTCTCGTCGGCGAGGAGGCCGCCCACGCAGTCGCCCACGGTGGCTCCCGCCTCGATTGCTTGTGCGTCTTGGGCATCGTCCCCTTGCGAATCCGATCTATCCCTCGGGTAACATAACTGGAGTCCGTGATGTATTTGATCTTCCCGTGCGGCTGCAGGCATTCGAGCATTTCGACCATCGCTGTGAGCTCGCCTCCGTTGACACTCTGTTACGAACCCGCCAACCCCCCTCGACCGCCCATGGTGCACCTGCCCTCTTTCAGCTCCGAGTTGGAAGCGATCCAGCCCCACGCGATCATTCTCGTCCTCGGGTCATCGGTGTTCTCGTCCCTCGATGCGTCTCCTGCCGTGTAGACCTACTCGTTGACGTCCATGTGGGCCTCTCCGACCACTTCTCGCAGTTCTTCTCCTGGCTCAGGTGGTGCCGCAACCTGCGTCCAGCTCTTGGGCAACATGCCTCTGAGCCACAGGCACGGCTGGTTCTCGACCCCCTCCTTTGCCTTCTCCTCCAGGCGCTTGGACTTCCCGCACTCGGGGATTATGCCGTTGCACCTGCACTTCCACATGCGATGCTCCCAGGTCTCTGGCTCCTCCTCGCACCCAGGGCGTAACACGCCCTCGACATCGATCCCCGTGCTTGCGACCCGCTGACGCGGCCAGATACCACCTGCGAAGATCGTCGGCATGGCTCCGACTTGTCGTACTTGCCCTTCTGCTTGAGCCTTCTCAGCAGGCCCCTCGCGGAGTGGAGGTCCGCGCCTTTCTCCAGGCCCCTTCCCCGCGTAGTGTTAAGTCGGGCCTGTCCCTCTACAGGAGGAATATTAAAAAATAGTCAAGCATAGGCTGGGGACGATATTTTGTTCATATATATATATATACATACACATATGTATAAAACAACTATTTCTGAGTATTTCTTGACTACTCTTCATTTCTTCGTCCAACATCCCTCTGTAGGAGGACATGCCCGACCTAAGCGTGGTGCTCCGCTGGCTTGGCCACCTGCCTCCGCTAGCTGGTGTCCGCGAGCGCCGCCGTCGGCTCGCTGGTGCCCACGTCGTCGTTCAGCTCCTTGGGGCCGTCGCCTCCGAAGACCTCGCCGCTGCACGACTCCCGGGTTGCCGCGGGCCACGAGGTACCCCAGCCCAGGTCCGGTAGCGTGCAGACCATCGTCTTGGCGACTCCTGCAACTCCTCGCCATCGATCCCTCTCCTTCGTGGCCTTCATCTCCTCGACGATCCTCTCCCACATCAGCTCAGGCTTGCGCCTCCCCTTGCCCTCGCCGGTGATGTGCATCCAGGGGTCCAACAGCGAGAAGACCACCCCCGTGCCCAGGGTCGCCTCGCCCCAACTCTAGCTGCAGCAGAGTGGTGAGGCACCTCCCGCTCCGCCGAGGCGGGATCACGCCTGCAAGCTTCCTCCTCCACTTGGTGGTCACTTAGGGCGCCGTGCCGAAGACCAATGCCGCCCGTGGTAGCGATCCTCTATGCACAACTGCACGTGCTCCGCCTCAAGTCTTTCGCCCAGCTCTGAGCATCCTCATGGCCTTCTCTACCTGTCTGTCCGCGTGTGCCGTCCTCTTCGCGTGCTTGCACTTGCCCTTCGCGATGTTGCCCCTGTCGATCCCAAGGTCGGGCGCCTGGTTCTTCAGCGTGACCGTGATTTTACGACTCTTCAGCTTGAGCGCGATCTCCTGCGTCATCTTCTTGTCGTCGCCTATGACCGCTGACTTCTTAGGCAGCATCAGCTTCGCCTTCTTGACGCCTGCCGCGAAGTCCACTCCTGCCCCCGTCAGCTGCTTGGTCACCTGGGCCTTCGACCCTTTGATCCTCGTGGTGATGTCGTCGATCCGCGAGCGCACGTACACCTGTGTGAACTTGTTGCTCACTTTCTCGAGCACCGCGTATAACGCGACCCTGCCGAAATCGATCCCCCCTCCTGGCGCCTGCGCAGATGGACCTCTCGGGGGCGATGGGCTCCGCGTACGCCGTCCTCTCCCTGGCGAGCCTGCTGCTCAGGTGGCTGAGCATCTCCAGGTGCAGAGTGCGCCAAAGCCTGATCCCCTCGTCCAAGACCAGCACTTGCTCCAAGGTGTCGTAGAACTCCGCCCAGTCCCAGAGCACCGCGGCCGTGCAGGTCTTCTGTGGCGCCCACTGGATGACCTTGTCGGCAGACGACCGAACCACGGCCTCCTTCGCCGAGCTGTTGCCTGCGATGACCGCGTCCACCTTGCCCGCCATCGCCTTCACTCACTCTTTGGTGTATTCACTGCGCGCCTTAGACCACAGCTTCACCACTTCTGGCAGGAGCCCGTTGGCTCGGTGACCACCGGTCTCCTTCCTCAGCAAGCTCATCAGCGTGACGAGCAGCTGCCAAGGCCATGCGCCCATGCTCTCGACGCTCTCGATCAGCTGCCTCAGCTTCTCGCGCGCGCTCGGCGGCAACCACTTGAAAGCCAGCGCCCCCATCTGCTCCACGCCCTTCTCCTTGCTCTTCGCCATCGTGTCGATGGCGCGGTCCAGCGCCTCCGTGGTGATGGGCACCCAGTCCTCTTCCATGGCCGCCTCCCTCGTGCGGTCGAGCACGCTGAGCAGCTGGGCTCTCGGTGCCGAGCTCGTCCACTTCTTCTTCCATTGCGCCCCCTTCGCGTCCATGTGCTCCACCATGTTGTGCGTCGCAGTGCCATTGGCGCGGATCTCGTTGTTTCACCTTGGCTGGTCCGTTGTTTTGCGTTGCAGCTTCCGTGCACCAATCGCCTCCTGCTCCTGCACTCAGTTGGTCTAGCCGATCAGAGCCTCTCTGGCCTCCATGCGCTTGCCCCGCTCCGCCGTGGTCAGCGCTGCCACACCCAACTCCTGCACCGGGGCGCTGTTCATGATATGGATTTCGCTTAACGGTGTCCTCCACTTCTTCTTCTGCTTCGCCGTCATCAGGGTGATGCCGCCAGTCGGCATCGTGCTGACGATGCCCTTGCACAGGCTCTTGAGCTACGCCCTGGGCTGCTTGCCCTCGCAACGCTGGAGTTCCACCAGCCACAGCGACAGGGCCCTTCACCATCTGATGATGGACTGGTCCCAGTCGGCCCCGACGTCGATCCCGAGCCTGACGGCACTGAGGTTGAAGCTCAACTCCTCCCCGCGCCCGGTGCTGGCGGTCCTTCGGCTCGATCCGCAGCATCGTGACGTAGAACTGCTCTACCGCATGCACCCAGCTGCCGTACCTTCGGCGGCGCGCCCAGGGGGGAAGTGAGAAGGGGCGGGCCTTCTCAGAAGGCTCGGAAGTCCCCCGGCCTTTTGAGAAGTTTGTGAGCCTTCCCCGAAGACAGAAACAACTTATCAGAAGGCGCGAGGGCTTCTGAGAAGTCCCGCCGCCTTTCTGAGAAGTCCTTCTCCTTCTCACTTCCCCCCCCTCGCTCGCCGCCGATGCCGATACCTGCCTTCTGAGCTCCCTCGACGCGGCGCCGTCGAGCCGGTGCGCCGCCGTGTCCTTCGCGTGCTGCGGTGGCGTGCGCCCCGCCCTGCGGTCCCGAACTTCATCGCCGGTCTCGAGCTTCGCCCGCCTCGAGCGCGTGCCTCTCGTCCTCGCTCAGGTCGAAGATCTCGTCGGCGTCCTTCTCTCCTCGGTCTTCGTCTCCTGCGCCTCGGGCGCCCCCGTCGGCGTCCAGCTCCTCCTCCTCGCCGCTCGTCTCGAAGTCGCCGAGGAGGTTGTCCGTGTCGGCGCCCTTCCCGCAGATCCTGCGGTTCCCGGCAACCGACCTGGAGCTCGCCGACCTTTGGACTTTGGAGGGACGGATGCTGGTTGACCTGCTCCTTCTTCTTCCGCGACCGCTTGCTGTTGGGGTCGGCCTTCCGCTTGGGCACGTTCGGCAAGGGTAGGGGCTTCGGCAGACGCAGGGCCCTCTGTACTGCTGCCTCCGCGTCACCTCGCAAGTGTACGCGCACTCCGTAAATAGTGATCTCCAGGGTCCGCCTGATCCGCACAGTCGTGGTCGAGCAAGAGCGGGAAGGACTTCGAGCAGACCACGTAGTCGAGCATCCTCGCAGGGTTGCGCGTGCAGGTGTACGGGACGTCCTCTGGCGTGCGCACCTCCGCCACCCCGCCTCCTTCAACCGATGCGGCTCCACGTTCAAGTCGCCAGTCGCCGCCCACGGCCCGCTGTGGCCCCGTACCAAGAATGCGGTCCTCGCCATCTTCTTCATGTTCTAGCCCCGCATTCCGATGGATGTGAGGTACGGCCAGGTGTAGCATTGCGGTGGTGCCAGTCTTTGTCGGGCAGTGTTTCGCACCGTGTCGAGCGTGGCCGGCACGCGGGAGCGGGACTCTGTTCGGGCAGGGCCTCGGGGTCACCTCGCGGGCACGGTGAGGAAGCCGCTGGGTCAGTGCGAGCTGTTCTGCCGAGAAACAAATCATCGTATGTCCTTTCCACCTCCACTTCAGCACTGCGAGATTCTTGAAATTAATGTGTCCTGCTTCCCAGTCGCTGTCCAGCTGCCTAAGCCCAACTGCCTGCATAGGCTTCGCCGCCAGATGCCTCAAGCTCGTCACTGAGTACTTTGACCTGCCCGCTGCGACAATCCCTCCTGCAAGCTCGCTGCGCTTGCCCATCTCCGCTGGCATCACTACCGCTTTCCATCCACACATGTCCATGAACTGCAGAATCTTGTTGCTGCCCGAGCTGCCCACGCGCGTCTCGTGGAGAATCACCGAGAGAGCGTGATTCACCGCCGCTTTACTATGGAAAATTTGGAGGAACCTTCCTCCGAACCCGTGGGTCCCCCTTCCCCCTCCGAAAATCCCCCCCCCCCTGCTGGAACCCCTCACCCCCCCCCCCACCCTCCAACCCCCCCCCCCCCTAACCCCTCCCCCCCCGCCCCCTTCCCCTGAAAACCCGGGGGGGGTCACTACCGGTTCGAACCCCCCCCCCCTCGAAAAACCGATGGGGTGCCCCTACCGGTCGAAAGAACCCCTCCCCCCCCACGCACACCGCCAGCAAACGACTCCCGGTCCCTACCTCCGTCCTGACCACATCCCCCACTGTTGTTCCCAGCACCACACTGTCCTCACCACCACTGTCCCCACTGGTTCCACCACCGCCCCTACTGTCCCCACCAGTGCCACCACCACTGTCGCACTGTCCCCACTGTCCCCACCACTGTTCCCACCACGGTTCCACTCTCCCAACTTTCTCCACGGCCCCAACCACTGCCCGACTATCCCCACTGTCCCCACTGTCCCACTGACTCCTCCGCTGTCCCACTGAGCTGTCCCACTGTTCCCACCACTGTCCCCACTGTCCCCACCACTGTCCCCATTGTACCTCTGTCCCATTGTCCCACCGCCGTCCTCGCCACCGCCTTCGCCACTGTCCCCACCACCACTGTACCCTCCACTGTCCTATTGTTTCCACCACATTCCCACTGTCCCCACACCGCTGTCCCCACCACCTCCGTCCCCACCACTATCCCACTGTCCCCACTGTTCCCACCATTGTCCTCACCATTGTCCCCACCACTTAGACTACCGTCCCCACCACTGTCCCACTGTCCCACTGTCCCCACCACTGTCCCGCTGTCCCCCCGCGACTGTCCCCACCACCACCATCCCCACCACTGTCCGCACCCCCCCTCGGTTTTCGGAGGGGGGGGGGGTTCGAGCCGGTAGTGACCCCCCGCCGGTTTTCGAGTTCGAGGGGGGTGGGGGGGGGGGTTCGAACTGGTAGTGACCCCCCCCCCTTTTCATTATGAACTGGGGGGGGGAGGGGTTCGAACCGGTAGTGACCCCCCCCGGTTTTCCGGAGTGGGGGGGGGGAGGTGTTCGAACCGGTAGTGACACCCCCCGGTTTTCCGCCAGCAGCGGTAGAACACGCTCTTTCGAATCACCAAATCGTCTTTAAATTGTCAAACTTCCTCTTGATCCTGTGGCCATACGTCGACATGTTCTGTATCTTGCCTCCTGAAGGCTGCACGCCCTTACGGCCGCTGTCCTTCGCCCTTGCTGCCAGCACCGCAGCC